ACGCACGCACGCACGCACGCACGCACTCATGCACGGCCTGACAACGGCCCGATTCGTCATCACGGCCGCTTGTGCCGAGCCGGCGATTTTCATTGACAAAATGGCGCGTTTCAGTTGCGAAACTGTTCGCCTGCAACACACGTATCTTATCCGCCATCTCGGAGCGGTAACATTATCTCGCATTATCCGACATTTACGGAATACATGTTCGCATCACACACCTACGGGGGGACGAAGGGAGGCCAGGCTGGTGAGGGGGACGGTGGAGGCGAAAAAACAGGGAGCGCATAATTATTGGAGATCTGTCGATACTTTTTTCACATGCTGCGCACGCGCGAATGAAATCCTACTTCCCTATTGGTTGCATCGGCCTCCCACTAACACGTAGCCCATCGCTTCTCCTTCCTGCTCGCATCTCCTCATCACCCCCTCCCCCCCGCACGCAATGATTCGGTCTTCCTCCTGGCGGCTGCTGCTGCCGCTGCTGCTACTGGTGCTGTGCACCAATTTAGGAGAGTTGGCCTAATCTTGGTTGGCAGTTCTCACAAAGGCCCCACTCGGTCCGGAGCTGCCCGGCTGACCATTAGAGAGGGAATTAAGTACGGGAGGAATGCGCGCGCGCGGGTCGCCGGATGCCTCGTGCGTGTTTCTCCCCGCACGCAGCATAAACACGGGCTGTGTCGCACCGTCGCTGTTCGCCGGCCTTGTTTAGCGATGTCGTGACAGGACTGGGTAACTGTTTTCACAGCGGTGAATGGGGGGCGGCAGGGGCCGGCAGTTACTTAATAGCCGTTCTGCTGCGCGACCACGGCAGCGATACACGCAGCTGCTGCAAGCACGCGAGATACACGCCGCTAGTGCAACTGCACGCGCGCACGCACACGGACGCACGCACACACGCGCGCACACGGACGCGAATATGTTGCGATCCCCTCATAGACACGCACGCACACCCCCACATTCACGCACGCCCCTATGCTCACGCACGCCCACGCACGCCCTCGCGCGCACGCACACCCCCACATTCACGCACGCCCACGCACGCCCTCGCGCTCACGCACGCCCCCACACTCACGCCCCCACGCGCACGCACGTCCCCGCGCGCACGCACCCTCCAGCGCTCACGCACCCTCCAGCGCTCACGCGTGCCCGCATGCACGCTTATGGAACGACCGAGGTCACATTACAAAGGGTTTCCCCTAAATAAAACAGTTAATACTTTTTTACTGGTTTGTCAAGTACTGCTATCTTTACTCAGTAGCGTCGTTCTGTGGAGCAGCAAATACGAAGATGGATGGTAAAATCACTTAAGCGATACAACGCTAAATTGAAGAGGGTAAACGGCGAGTAAGGGTAACGTATATCAGGAATCGAAGGAAAAATATTGTGCGCGTATGTTGAGTGAGAAGAAGTTAGCAATAAGGTATTAAGCAAAGCAGAAGGCGAATAAAGGAGAACTCCCGATAGGAGAAGAAGAAGAAGGATGATCCTGAAGAGGGTAAACGGTATGTACAGCTCTTATTCCCATGACCTTCCTCGTCCTCGTCCTCGTCCTCATCCTCATCCTCATCCTCATCATCATCATCATCCTCATCCTCATCCTCATCCTCATCATCATCCTCGTCCTCGTCCTCATCTTCATCCTCTTCCTCTTCCTCGTCCTCATCATCATCCTCGTCCTCATCCTCTGAGAGAGCCCACACAAGATCAGGGAGTCGGGCTGGACTAAGCGAGCCCCTCGGCAACGATCGCGAAACGTTCTCACAGCTTTTGTTACGCTGAAATTCCTGAGAGAGAGGGAGAGAGAGAGAGAGAGAGAGAGAGAGAGAGAGCCGCGCGAAAAGTGCAGCGCTAGGTACCTAGCGAGGAATGCTGATCACAAGGGATGCTGTGAGCTAGAGATGGATGCTGTGAGCTAGAGAGGGATGCTGTGAGCTAGAGATGGATGCTGTGAGCTAGAGAGGGATGCTGCGAGCTCACGAGGGATGCTGCGAGCTAGAGAGGGATGCTGTGAGCTAGAGAGGGATGCTGCGAGCTCACGAGGGATGCTGCGAGCTAGCGAGGGATGCTGCGAGCTCACGAGGGATGCTGCGAGCTAGAGAGGGATGCTGAGAGCTGGAGAGGGATGCTGCGAGCTAGAGAGGGATGCTGCGAGCTAGAGAGGGATGCTGCGAGCTCACGAGGGATGCTGCGAGCTAGAGAGGGATGATGCGAGCTCATGAGGGATACTGCGAGCTAGAGAGGGATGCTGCGAGCTCACGAGGGATGCTGCGAGCTCACGAGGGATGCTGCGAGCTAGAGAGGGATGCTGTGAGCTCACGAGGGATGCTGTGAGCTAGAGAGGGATGCTGCGAGCTAGAGAGGGATGCTGTGAGCTAGAGAGGGATGCTGCGAGCTAGAGAGGGATGCTGCGAGCTAGCGAGGGATGCTGCGAGCTAGAGAGAGATGATGCGAGCTAGAGATGGATGATGCGAGCTAGAGATGGATGCTGCGAGCTAGAGATGGATGCTGTGAGCTAGAGAGGGATGCTGCGAGCTCACGTGGGATGCTGTGAGCTAGAGAGGGATGCAATAATATGCACTTGTGTTTCTGACTGTGTTTAACAGTTAATGACAGACGCGAGACGCAGCGATGTAAACCAAACACGACATCTTACGCATTTGCATCCGGTCCCGGAATCGATATTTGACAAAAGCTGCCGATTCCCCTAATGACCCAACGGTACACAAAATAAATGCAGTTACAAGCTGCGATGGACGTATTACATTCATTACTGCTAGCTATGAGCATACGCACGCACGCCCGCCCGCCCGCACGCACGCACGCACGCACGCACGCACGCA